ATCCACTTGGGACCCCTCCTGGTAATCCAAGAGCCATTCTCCTAGTCCTTATTTCCATTGAAATAATCTTAAATTCGTCCTTTGGTTCATGGCTTCAATCATCAATATTGTGATACTACAAATCTGGCACATTTGCCATGGAATGGGTCACAAGTTATATATTTATGTCACAGTATTGATATAGATTTATTCTTTTGGAAGATGTGGTATATCATGTTATGCCATGTGTCTATATATCTCCTCAATGCCTCATGTAATCATAGGTGGGGCTTATTTGCAGTTGACTGTATACTCTATAACTTTACAGGCTGATGACTGATTTGCAACAGACTGGTTTAATCACTCTGGAATTAGATGGGAAGACCCCAGTGGCACTCAATGGTCTTTTAGGACCAATTTGTGGCCCTGGCTATACCCTGAATTGACAAGAAGATGTACATTATGATTTGTGTAGTTACAAGGCAGGAGTGTCAAAAGTATCAACAAACTTGCAAATTTATCCCACCTCTAACATTGATAGTCCAGGAGCATGTTTCATTAGTATGATCACTTGGCCTCTCTCTTTATTCCTTCCCTAAGGTTAGAACATGTCATATAACATATTGAGGCCTAACTATACTCAGTGGGCCTTAAATGACACTCCAGCTGGTCTCTGTCTCCTAAATGCAAAATTAAAACTAATGAGATAGGCTATCCTCCAAAATCAGATAGCATTACATGTTCTGACAGCAGCATTCAAAGAGTTACTTGTGCAGCTGCAAAAACTGAATGTTGTGTGTACATTCCTGATAGATATTAGATGATGAATCAATGACAAGTCAGATTATAAAATTCCCTGGACCTTATCCTTATTCTCTTTGTGGGAAGCCATTACTATTAAGTCTCTCTGGGTGGAAATCTTTGTTAGCTGTACTCATAATTATCCTGTTGATTCTATTATTTGGCACATGCATACTTGTTTCTTTTACTTTGTCTCCTCCAGATTTAATGCTGTGTACCTACCCAAGATGAAAATAACTGGTGTCTATTTAAAGGGCCTTTAGATAGACTCTCTGTTGAGTATCTCTGATGCCTGATCAACAACTGTGACCCCCTTCAGCCTGAGAAAAACAGATTGATCTTTGCCCAATTTTCCCTCCTAGTAGTTTAGGGTTTTTCTTCAGAGGGGAGCCACTAACCCAACCCTCTACAGGAAAAGACTCTATTCTGTATCCATGCCCACTTGCTACATGATTTGTTTCCTCATTGGATTCCGATTTAATCAATGTTACCTGAAAAATTACACTTATAATCTTATTGATTGACCATCTATCCCATCGTATGCCTGCCTGCTTTTTGAGTTCCTATTTTTCTCCACCTTGGATCCACCTCACCTTGTGATTCTGCTCTACAAAAATTCCTAAAGTAGGTAGGATCCTTGGCAGCCCACTTGGCACACATTCTGTCTCTTTATTGGACAGAATCTTTCTTTCTCTCCATAAATATAGATTGCTTTTTTAAAAATTTAAAAAAAATAAAGTGTGTGACAGATTCAAGGTGCAATGCTAACATTAAAGGTGCTAGAATTAAGGGGATGGGTGATTAATAAATCAATATACTGAGTAGATTGACACTGTCCCAACCTCAACAGCTTGGATACAATGTAAAGGTGAGAAAAACATTTGTTTTATCCCTTGCTTGCTTGTTTTTTGTTTCTACTCACCATGGACTGTTTTCCTCTGTTATGCCTGTCTGCCATGCTACCTTGCCTGAGAGCCAGCTGATGATGAATTTAAACCTCTACAAACTGCAAGCTAAATAAACATTTCTCCATCAAACATTGAGTGTCACACAATTTTGTCTCAGCAATTAGAAAAGTAACTAAGACATCTTCCTATGGTTTATATACAAATCAAGTACTTTTAATTTATCTATAATGCAGTTCACACTCACTGTTGTCATCCATAAAGTTTTTAAAATTATAGCATTAATTTTCTGCTTTAAAAAGTAGTCTATACATCTTTCTGACTCAAAATCAATGCTCTGTCATTTTCGTATTAGGTCGTTATCATTTTGCCTATTCCCTATCCCATATATTCTCTTGATTCCAAATTTCATTATTTACTGTTACATTCAATTATCAGCCACTTTACTGTTTTTCCATAAAACTGAGGTTCACTGCTTCTTAATCTTTATTCATAATTACTGATGAAACCCCACCCATGAATCCATTGAAATGTACACCTAATCACAGTTTACAAGAATGAGTTAAAATACTACACAGGAAGATTATCAAAAGTTTTATTTTCAGAGCTGATTAATTTGTCTCTGCATTTTTATCCAATTTTGTCTGCCATACGTGTTTTTCTTAAACCTTTACAACCATTATGAAATCTATTTTATTCTCTCCTGCCTCAATCTAAGGTATGCCTTTTCCTCAAATGTTAAAAATAAATAGAATAGATGAGGAAGAAATACTCTGAACTTCCAAAACCCAAATGTAAGTTAAAACCAATGATTTGTCCTTGGAATCCTGTCACAAAAAAGGAACTCAATTCTCTCTTGCTGTAAGGCCGTTACTTCCCCCAAATGAAATGAATACAGCTACCAGGAGGTTTACTTCAAGTATCCTTACTTATTGTTTACCACAGATTCTGCTTCCTTTGCTGGTGTCGAGGAATATCCATGTATGATAGTAGGGAGGAAAGAGGAGGCTATCCTCTTAGTGAGCATGTTCATTCCTCCAGTGGGAAAAAAAAGGTGGATTTAGATCACACATGTCACGTTTATTTTTCTCAAGTTTATTGGTCAGACAAATCACTGCACTACCTATGAAACAGGAGAGCAACAACAACCACACAAAAAAAACTAAATAGAGCATTTTAACTCTTCAACAACATGTCAGATAAGGAAGAAAAACATCCCTGTTACACGTACTAAATGAGTACACAAAACAGTTAATTTCATATAAACCTGAATTCTTTGTCTTCCAAAATGAAATATAAATTTGATGACAAAAGAAGAAATTTAAGAGAGTTATTCTTTACCGTTTTGTTCAATTTTATTATAACTGATGATTTAGGCAATTCTTCTTAAGATAGCAAGAGGCAGTATGGTAACCATTGTTGATCACCTTGTATTTTGTTTTTACATTATGTATTATGTCCATCCTTTTGATTTGACTGACTCTGTCCTGGTATGTCACATTTGGTTTTACTTTCTTAAAAAAACAAAGTAATAAGAACTGTGGGAGTAATAAAACCCAAAATGTGTAATTGTCATTGTACAAAAGAAAGGAAAAGTTCTCTAAAAGTTATAACTGCATATATATTTAAGTGTATAAGATACATAACCATATTACTGAGTTTTGTTGGATCATTGAACAACTGTTTGCAGTCTCACTGTTTGAAAGTCCCCTCTATATGCTTCAATTTTGTAACTTCAACAACTATTTCTAAGATGGCAATATGTAATTAACTAGTGATTTCCTACTGTTTATTTTTTCTGAAAGTCTGTATAACTTGTACCCCTTTTCTGTTTTTTTTTTTCTTTTTTCTCTTTAAATAAAATTTTAAAAAAAAGAGAGAGTGTTTAGCAAGGAAAATGCTCTTTGTGGGCATCTCACTAAGGGAAATTTTGATGTTGTTGTTATTTTATCAGGAATCACACTTAAGAGCTGTGTTGCTGAGCTATGTCCCCAGCCCACCAAGGGGATTCTGAATAGAAATCCGACATGCTTCCTTTGTGTCTGCCTTATGTAGGCAAGCAGAGTACAGGGGTTTGTTTCAAAGAAATGAATTAAAAAAATATTTAAAAGCAACTGGTTATCTTGCATTTCTAATGTCCAGATCTTTTTAAGATGTAAGGAGTTGTTAAAGCTGTTAGTACATCCTGGAAGGGAAATTTAATTTCTTTAATCTCATTCTAAATTTGTATCATTTGTTCTTGTCTTTGTATCTCAAAGATTAGCTTAGCTATTTGAATTATTTCTTAACTTGGGTGTGCTATTTTATTTTCTTTTACATTACTAAAGATAATGGGCTGTTTGCTTAACTGGATGCTTGCTTAAATCTTTCTTCTGACATTATCCTAGGCTTCTCTAAATGTCTATTTATAATAACTATACTAAACTGCTATAATAAGTACCTCAGTGACTTGGTTTATGAGTAGCATTTGACACTTGCTATTCTCTGCAGTGAAGTGAAGGCATCAGACTAAAATCTTCAGTCTCCAGTGTGCAGACTCCCTCTGCGTGCTTCCTCATCCAATTCTGCCAGTAACCATTTTAAGCCTATCTTGTAAATTTTTATATATTTGTATATTTTATGTTATATCTGTTTCTCTAATAAATTGCTGGCAGATACAACATGGTTACTTTTTTCTGAGTGGTGAAAATTGAGAAAAAATTTTCTGTTTAATTGACAAAATATTTTCTGTTTAATTGACATGCTCAAATGAGTAAGTTTTTTATTTTATGGAAAAGTAAAACAAAATATCAAAACATAGAAGAATAACTATAGTTGGTGCATGGCATATTGTTATCTTCAAAGTAGCTACTCATAGTACAAGATATGGGCGTAAAAATACTTCGATCAATATTAACATAAATCTTTTCAATGAAGTATGAGAAACCAACAATATAACTATCTTGCATTTTTTACCTTTCCCTTCCTTTCTTACCTTCCTTTGTTTATGTTTGTATTTGCCCTATACACTCATCTTTCTGTTCTCATTAGCTCAATGAACCATATATGTTTAAAACCATTTTAGCTTTAATGCTATGGTTAGCATTTTTTACCCTTCTGTTGTAGTCAGGGATTAGAAGAAAAATAATTATATACAGGGCACATAATTTATAGTATTATTACATAATTGTCACCCAAAGAATTAAATACAAAATGTCTAGGAAATCTGTCCACACACTAAAGACCTAGAGAATCCTGCAGCAGGCCTGAATCCCATGATATTATCCTTCATGAGTTTAGTCTAACTCTTTGATCCCATGACAATGCCTCCCACAGATCCAACTGGAGGCCTAGAGCACACAACAGTGACTCATGCAAGTCTCTTTCATGAATCTGCGCTGGGAAGGCCCCAAGGTGAGTGGTGGAAGCTAGAATGTCTGTGCAAGTGAGATGAAGGATGTGTGCCAGCAGGCGGAGCGTTCTTCGCTGGAGCCAAGAAGCAATGCTGTAAACGAGGATCCGGGATTCCAAAAAGTAACACAGCTATTCTCAGTGACAAGTTTCTGACTTCCTCTGATGATGAAAAACAGCTGAGTTCATAACAGGAAGCCAGAATGACAAGCTTCTCCTGAAGACTGAACTGCACACAATCCTCCCCTCTGGAGCTAGGAAGCAATAAAGACCAGTGCTTCCCCAAAGTGAACCACAGCCATTCTCAGCAACAAGGTCCTGAGCTCCTCTGCCAATGAGAACAGCCAAGTTCATATCAGGAAAGAAGCTCAGCAAGTTCCTCCAGGAGAACCCACGGCAATAGTAGAACCAGCAGCGCCAAACAACAGCTCTTCCTCTTATTTATGCTGGCAACAATCCTCAGGTGAGCCATCTACCCTCAGCACCATGCTGATTTTTCAGGTGTTGTTTAAATGGCGGTCAGTTTTCAATCCACCACACCTTGGTATCTTCTTCGGTAGATTAATGATGGAGTGTTTTCTATGACATTCTTTTGGAGTCTTTGTTTCAATTACTACATTAGATTGCTAATGAAAATCATTCTGAAATCTTATCTGGTAATTCTGAAAGCAACAAACTGAACATTTTGTAATGATAGTTAAAATTTCTAATAGGAGTAAGCACCTCACTGCATTGTTAGCTAAATCTATCAATTGGGGTATTAGGAACTTTCTGTTTTAAAAACTGTTGCTCTGCAAAATAAAGTGTTAACAGTTACCTTATGTTATTTTAATATTTCAGAGGATTTAATTGTGATTTTTATGAATAAAAATCACTCCTGTTAAAAGATTTTCTTCAGTGGAGAATAGACTTAAGTGTACCGAATAAGATTTATGTTTATTTTCTTTACCTGAATTTCTGAGTGAAATTTAAAGTACTTATTTTATACTAGCTAATGTAACAATATTCAATAAATATTTGGAGCATTGTAATGACTTTTTAATAATTTTATGTATGTGTAAAACTAATATAGTGCTGAAGTTTTACATTTAGATAGCATCACCTCTGTCAGAAGTGTCTAATTTTCAGTTTTATTGAGACAGAAAGTAATAACTATTTCAAAAGAAACTTGCATTCCTTTTAGAGGTGATAAATTTTTCCTATAAATTTCAGTGTTAAAAATTTATCATTGGTGGTGTAAGACAGGAATGAATGTGGACAAAAGAAACAGGGTAATCTGACATTGTTGCATTTTACTTACACTGTTTTATTTCAGGGATGTGACTGTCATTAAAAAAGATGGATGTTGTGATTAGTGTGAATCTCAGCAGTAAATTCACCAAAGTGCTGAAAAGACAAAGTGAATGTGACAATAGAAAGGGAAACAATCTCCAGTTGTCTAGAGGCATAGTAATAAGGCTTGATGAGTAAGACAATAACCATTTATCCCAGAAGATGAAAGGTACAGAAATAGACCAAATGCCACACCTAGTCTGTGTCCTACTTGAAAATACAAAGTAAAATATATTGAAGATTCTATTTGAACAGATTCTATCTGCTTGAATCATTAATATGAGTGAATAACAGCAAGTAATTGGATTCATACTAACACTTTAATATGAATGCTATAAAACGTACCAGCATTATTTACTATGAATAAATTGCTAACATTATATTTGGAGAAATTATAATTTGCCTTTTAAGTACTTCTCCAAGGACATTTTGTGGGATGAAATAATAGTGTAATTCCATTTACTTTTTTACCAGTACATGTTTGTGGTACATAATAAATGTATTTATTACATGGGGAATTAGGCACTGTACACATCACATTTTAAATCTTCTCACTTTCATTTCCCCTGTCTTCTCTCCATTTCTAGATGTCCCTCCCATCTAGAATAGGACTACCTCCCAATTTCCTATTATTTATCTTACATTTTTCTTTTAAAATATTTCTGCTCTGAGTTTTACCTATAAGGAAAGCTGATTTATTTCTTTTAAGATTGTAGTTTCAAGGTACAACTATTTTTCTACAGATGACTCAAATTTACCTTTCTGGCAGAGCAGAACTCCATTGTGTATATGTACCTGATTTTCTTTAACCATTTATCTATTACTGGACAAATAGGCTGCTTCCAAGATTTAGCTACTAGGAGTTGTGCTGCTGTGAACATAGATATGCATGCATCACTGTAATGTGTTTTCTTTAATGCTTTTGGAAAGATATTTGAAGGCAAGTAGCTTCATCAAATAAAATTTCTAGTTTTAGTTTTTTGAGGAAACTTTGTACTGATTTCCATAGTGGTCATACTAATTTACTTTCCCACCAACAAGGAGGAAATGTCCTTCTTTTCCTTGCAGCCTCAACAGCATCTCTATATTTTGTTTTACTTTACTTTTATTTTTGTTTTTGTTTGTCTTTGAGTTCTTGAGGATAGCCATTCTTTCCGGTGCAAGATGAAAACTCATTGTTCTTTTAATTTGCATTTCTCTGATGGCCAAATATAGTGAATATTTTTATATACTTATTGATTATTTTTGTTTCTTCTTTTTGAGAAGTGTCTTCATTTCAATTGCTCATTTTGATGAGTTTCTTTTTATTTGGGGTGGTCTAATTTTCTGAGCTCTTATATGGTATAGGCCAGTGGTGGTGAACCTGTGGTACATATTGGTTTTTTAAAAATTTATTTATTTATTTTTTATTGGTAACAGGGATTGAATTCACGACCATGTGCTTGCAAGGCAGGCACTTATGCCACTGAGCTAAATCCCCAGCCCCAATGGTACACATGTTATTGTGTTTTTCTTTTAATACAACAAATATATGAATTATTTTTTTTTCCTAAACTACAATCTCATTATTCAGGTTTAATAGTAATGCTGTTTTTTTGTGATAAATAAATCGGCTTTGGGTTTCTGTTTGGGGACTGGATCTCTAGAAGTTTTGCCATCATTATAAATATGACTCCTCTGTACGAATAACTGGAAACATTATTTTTTTCACTCTCTAGGTTATCTCACTCTATAATAGTATATTTTTAATACACTCAGATTTTGAAGGAAAATGCTTTATAACTCAGTTTCATTTGAGGTCCCAAAGAACAAAAACCAAGCAATGCTTCGATAGACTTTACAGCACATTATGTTGAAGCTTTTAAGTGGGAGAGCCAGTTTCTTTGGAAAGAGTAATTAGTATGCTAGTGTTTGTATTCAATTCCCAGAGAGAGGTCACACAGTACATTTATCTCATTTTAAGCCAAAAGAGAGAAGGGAGTTTCAGGGAATATATGGAGAAATTATACATTTGACATTTTCAGGGTCTGGGAACTATTTATGCAATGGGTAGAATGTCTAAAAGGATATAGGAAAGGGAGATAAAGAGAGCATTTTGTGAGTCAGTAGCATTCCACCATTGGTACAGAATGGAATTCGAGTGTTTTTCATATATGAGAAACTAGAGTGGAAACTAGTATGATTCTGATTTGCAAAGCTCCTAAGAGAGCTACTTGAAGAAGCAATAGATGGCTAAACAGGAAGTCTGTATAGGGCAGACTATGAAAAATTAAGAGCCTATGGGCTGAAGTTCTAAGACAGCCCACATATTGAAAACTATACTGGAAGTTTTTAGTGGATGTATCTAAAGAATCAACAAAATATCTGTCTGAAAACAGATATAGGACTGGAAACTACACATTTGGGTTAATCTGGTGATTATCCCTTGAACACTAAAACAAAATGTCTTTCCTCCACTTCCCTTATTCTTGTGACACTGGAGAGTAAGAGTCATGTGAGGAAGGGGAAGGTGTAAGTTGGGTAAAGGGCAAATAAAGTGTAGTGAAAGATAAAGGGCACTTCCAAGTAAATTGAGGACTTACAGTCCAGGAAAAATCTATGTGGAGCAAGAAATATATGTTCATTGTTTAAAATCGCACTGTTTATATGTGACTGATACTGAAACAGACATTTAATTACTGAACTGTTATTCCCAGGAAGTGAAAATTGAGAAATTTGAGAAAGTTGAGAAAATTTTCAGATTTAAGACTGACCAAAATTTTTCGAGGAACTTTCTGAGCTTTCATCCAAATGCAGAGGAAGTACTGGTATATGGATTTAGATTTAAAGAGGTAATTAGGGAGAAATGCTTTATGTTTGTCCCCTAATGAGTACAACCCATGCAATATAGTGGTGATGAGACTAGGAAGATATAGCCATCGGTGTGCAGAGGAGGAGCTTGGCGGATCTGGGGTGCCTGCATCGGCCTCTCTGTGTGTCTGGATGACTGTGGATATCTCGGCCCAGACTGTTTGGGTCCCTCCAGGCTTCTGGGTGCAGTGAAGTGGAGTAGTGGGTTAGAGGCCTCTACATCCGCCTCCCCATCCCGGCTGCACTTGGAGAACTGCTGAGCTCCTGACGGGTGGTCGGGCCCACACTATCCCCGGAGCCCAGACTGTTTCGCTGCAGGGCCTAGCCATCAGTGTGCAGAGGAGGAGCTTGGCGGATCTGGGGTGCCTGCATCGGCCTCTCCGTGTGTCTGGATGACTGTGGATATCTCGGCCCAGACTGTTTGGGTCCCTCCAGGCTTCTGGGTGCAGTGAAGTGGAGTAGTGGGTTAGAGGCCTCTACATCCGCCTCCCCATCCCGGCTGCACTTGGAGAACTGCTGAGCTCCCGACGGGTGGTCGGGCCCACACTATCCCCGGAGCCCAGACTGTTTCGCTGCAGGGCCTAGCCATCAGTGTGCAGAGGAGGAGCTTGGCGGATCTGGGGTGCCTGCATCGGCCTCTCCGTGTGTCTGGATGACTGTGGATATCTCGGCCCAGACTGTTTGGGTCCCTCCAGGCTTCTGGGTGCAGTGAAGTGGAGTAGTGGGTTAGAGGCCTCTACATCCGCCTCCCCATCCCGGCTGCACTTGGAGAACTGCTGAGCTCCCGACGGGTGGTCGGGCCCACACTATCCCCGGAGCCCAGCCTGTTTCGCTGCCGCGCCTAGCCATCAGTGTGTAGAGGAGGAGCTGGGCGGATCGGGGGTGCCTGCATCAGCCCCTCCATGTGTCTGGAGGACTGTGGATATCTCTGCAAGCAGGGAGAGATCACAGGTTCCTGAGGCACTGTGGCCTGTGGTGAGTACACTAACCCGGCTGCGATTGAAGAGCTGTGGAGCTTCCAAGGGGCAGGTGGGCGCACAGTGTCCCTGAGGCCCAGCTTGTCTGGAACTGCAGAGTTCTGAGCAGGCAGAGGAGGGCCATTGGTTCTGCAGGCCCAATGGCTTGGAGTAGCGTGGTGCCAGAGTCTCAGTAGCTGCAAATATAGAAGGGGATTTTCAACAGATCCTGAGGAAGATTTCAAATAACACTTGAAACACAGAAATATAGGAAAATGACAAAACGAAAGACCGAATTACAACCTCAAACCTCCAGTTCATCTCAAGAAACCCTAGGAGCAATGTATATAGAAGAAAATATATCCCATCCACCTCAAATATCAGACACAATAGCTACTGAAATTGACAAGCAACTCCAGGAAGCTTTAAAGAAATTCAAACTCGAAATAATCTCCCAGATAAAAAAGAAATGATAAAAGAAATGAAAGAGATTCTGAATATACCTAAAGAAAACACAGATAAAAATTGGAGGAATAAACAAAAAGATAGAATCCCTAGACGAGCAATATAAGAAACAAACAGAATACATAATGCAGATGCACAGAGATATACAGGAAATAAAAAACTCCACTGAAAGATGTAAAAACAGCCATAATGAAAGTGAAGATAGAATTTCAGACCTTGAAGACAGGATTGCAGCTAGTGAACAGGAAAGGAAAGATCTTTTAAAAATAACAAGGAATCAGCAAACAACAATTCAACAACTGCAAGACCATGCAAAGAAGAATAACATAAGAATGATAGGGATTAATGAAAAAGAAGGAGACGACATAAAGGATGTCAAGAGGATATTTAAGAGAAGTAATAGCTGAAAATTTCCCAAGCATGAGATCAGAAACTGACATCAGGATCAGTGAAGCATATAGAACTCAAATAGTCATAACCAAAATAAAACTACACCCAGACATATAATAATCACCATCCCAGATATCCAACACAAGAACAGATTATTAAAAGCTGTCAGAGAGAAAAGACAGATCACTTATAAAGGAAAACCTATCAGAATCACAGCAGACTTCTCATCACAAACAATAAAGTCAAGAAGAGCATGGAGTGAAGTATTCCAGATCCTAAAGCAAAATGATTTCCAACCTAGACTGATGTATCCTGCAAAACAATCATTCAAAATAGGTGGTGAAATTCGATACTTCCATGACAAAGAACAGCTGAAGAACTTCATGAACACCAAACCAACCCTGCAAAAAATATTGAAAGACAGTTTAGATACACAAAGGAAAAAACCACTAAGCAAAGCAAATAATTAAACAGAACAGAAAGATAAAGATGCAACAGCAGAGAGATCACATTCCTACAATAAACCAGCATTTAACAGTAATAACCATTAATGTAAATGGTCTCAATGCACCAATCAAAAGGAACAGACTAGCAGAATGGTTCAAGAAACAAAATCCAACCATATGCTGTTTACAGGAAACCCATCTAACCCAGAAGGATACTCATAGACTGAAAGTCAAAGGATGGAAAACAATTCTTCATGCAGCAGGAATCCAAAAAAAGACAGCAGTAGCCATTCTGTATGCAGTCAACATGAACTTTAGACCAACAATGACCATAAAGGACAAAGAAGGTCACTACATACTCCTAAGGGGAAAACTCCAAGAGGAAGAGATAACTATCTTAATTATATATGCACCAAACTCCAGAGCACCCAGTTATAAAACAATTATTAACAGAAATAAAAACTCAAATTATCAGTAACACAATTTTAACAGGAGACCTTAATATGCCATTGACACCAAGGGACAGATCAACCAGACAGAAAATGAGCAAAGAAATAACAGAACTGAATCACACCTGTGAACAAATGGGTTTGATAGACATATACAGAATGTTCGAACCAACAACATCAGAATACACATTCTTCTCAGCAGTATATGGATCATTCTCTAAAATAAACCATAAATTAGCTCACAGAACATATTTAAACAAATGCAAAAGAGTTGAAATCATCCCTTGCATGTTATCGGATCATAGCACTCTGAAATTAGAAATTCATGATAAAAGATACTGCAAAAATCCCGAAAACACATGGAAACTGAATAAAACACTCTTGAGTAATCAGTGGGTCACAGAAGAAATTAAAGAAGAAATTAAACAATACC